ATAATAAGCAGGAAAGGGATTAGCCTTGCTGGAATGTGAAAGTTGCTGCTTGCTGTTTACATTTGCCAGTGACATGGAAAAGTCAAACTGTTTCCTCCACTTCATGCCACATCTGGAACAAGCTGGTTTGACATTGAGCTCCACAAATTGGATTTTGCTCCTGAACCCCCTCCTGTTGAGAACTTAGATTAATTAGACACAAATGAGTATTACATCTTCAGCTCCCATTTAGCTGCATGGGACAAAGGATTTATTTTTAAAAGAGGTGAAACACTAAGACTAATTTCATCCAGCAGGGAAACAGAGATTATACATGGCTTACAGCCGTGTATTACAGAGATATGAATCAAGACTATTATTTATTCCACTCTTGTTTCATGGCTGCGGTGGCGAAACATAATAGACGTGTTATTAATTCTTGTTTTTTCAGCCTATCAGTTCTCATTTGTGTCTGACATTTAAGCTATCTCTCCACCTTTTAATGACGTGGACCAGTCCGAAATGTTAATGATTCAAACTCATCTCTCTCACAGGGGCTGCTTGTCGCAATTCTCTATTGCTTTCTAAACCAAGAGGTCAGTACAAGCCACACCACTCAAACATTTATCTTGACGCGTCGACCAAATCTCACGGATAAGTTACAGCTCTCTCTGTTGCATAATAAACCATGTGTGCCCACACTGATCATATGTCAGCATGGGTCTGACTGGGTTAGTGTTGTCGGAACTTGAAATGCAAAATAATTTGCGGAGGGACGGACCGGGAGGACTTATGTAACCTCATGATTAACGTGGAGCCGACCCCAGTCCGTCTGAGCACAACACCAGTCTGTGTTTTACATTCATTACAAAATAAAGCCATGGTCATCTGTTTGGTGCTTCAGAGCGGCACAGTTGTACCTGAACGTCTCTGACCTATTACATAGTCTATAATGGATTAGTTCATTTGATTTAAACGTATATTCTCCAGTAAATGAAAGTGCATTTACAGCTGTTGTTTATTAAAGATTTTTTTTCTGATGCCAGGGGAAATTTATATCTGCTGCCTTTTGAGCATAACAAACCAAATGATACTTTACTTACATACTCAATATCAAATAAAATAACTTCTCTACAAAGAGAACAAGTCATTTCATTTGAGGTTGAGATTTTACTTATCAATTTATAGGTCATGTTTTAAAAGTTCGAGGAAATAGATGAACTTTTTAAGGAAACCTATTTGCTGTCTTGGTGAGAGTTGGAGAATGAGATTGATACCAGTTTCTTTGCTAATATAAGGAATTTACTGCTTCCAGCTCAGAAATGGCCTGGCACACAACCCCTGCAATAAGAGCCAAACTGTCTGACAGAGACAGTCTAACTGTTTCACCCCGTCTGAGCTATGCGGACTGGATGTAGGATGTAGGTTGTAGGATGTGGGTTGTGGATGTGTGTAGGTAGTAGGCTGAAGGATGAAGGGTGTATCTTGTAGGTTGAAGGATGTAGGAAGTAGGTTGTACGATGTAGGTTGCAGGTTATGGGATGTAGGCTGTAAGATGTAGGTTATAGGATGTGGGTTGTGGTTTTTGGATTATGTTATAGGATGTAGGATGTAAGACATAGGATGCAGGATGTAGATATAGGTTGTAGGTCGAAGGATGTAAGATGTAGGTTGTAGGATTAAGTGTGTAGGTAGTAGGTTATAGGTTGTAGGGGGTAGGTTGTAGGATGAAGGGTGTATCTTGTAGGTTGAAGGATGTAGGTAGTAGGTTGTAGGATGTAGGTTGAAGGACGTAGGTAGTAGGATATAGGATGTAGACTGTAGGTAGTAGTTTATAGGATGTAGGTAGTAGTCTGAAGATAGTAGGTTGTAGGATGTAGTCTGTAAGATGTAGGTTGTAGGCTGTAGGATGTAAGATGTAGGTATTGATCTTCTTATCTAACTCTTGTCAAGAAAGCAAATAAGTGCATTTATCAAAGTTAAAAAATATTGCCTACGTCCTTTTTTTTTGTGTAAACATATGACACAAGATCATTTATTACATAAAAAACAACCAATTTCTAATTTGCAGTCAAAATACTCTGTGTGTGTGTGTGTGTGTGTGTGT